GAGTGTAGACGGAAATTTATTACCGAAGTGTATGTCACAGTAAACTTTGGAATGAGGAAAGTTAGAAGTTCTGAGTGGCAAACTCGAAAGCTATTGGAACGATGGATTTCCGTTTACAAGAAATTGAAAGTTTCACATACTTAACTTTTCTCGTAGGTTTGATGAGAAAACGATGAAAGTGAAGACTCGGGTTTATTGCTATTAGTTACTAACTACCCCTTGCCACTTCGGAAGCGAGAGCAAGTTGGTTCGATATAAATAAATAATTCTTGATGGATGTAAACAAGTTACATCGAGCGGCTCGACTTTGGAACTTTCTCAGGAAGCTTTTACCGAAAGTATGCTCAACTCATGCGGATGGCTCTCAATTCCGAAAAAAGATGAAACATACCTTCGAAAACGATCTGGAGAAAATAAATCCAGGGTTTCTTTGACGTGGGAAATCATAATTTTGCATTAATTTCAATTTAACATCTAGAGGGTGCTGCGTAAGCTGTCATTATATATTTCAAATCGCCATAACTTTTTTGACAGTGAAATTTCGGTACTTTTTGTGAAGAAACCTAATTATCACACCTTTTCCAAGTAAAAAAGGTACACTTCCTCAACAACGCTGGAGGTGATCGTTTTCGAGATATTTACAATTTTCTATATCGATGCATATTACTTTATAGCCAAATTTGATTTCAATAATTTTTGTCACTCTCCGCTTGCAAATTAGGTTAATTAAATCGAGTAGGCTATGAAAGTTTGTTTATAAAAATAGAAGATCGCTGTCACATTTTTAACTATTAATTGACAAATTCACAGTTCGGAGTTTATGAAGTGATTTTTTGGTACCACGCCCGACCTTACGAATGCTGAAATAGCTGATATGGTTTTTGCTTACGGCTTGGCTGACGGAAATTCAAGCGAGGCCAGACGCATCTATCAGGAAAGGTATCCCCAACATGTGACTCCTTGTGCAGCGACATTTGCGAATCTTTTCCGGCGACTTTCCGAATTTGGAAGGTTTGACACAAATTCTGCAGTAGCACGGCCACGGACTACAAGAACTGTAGAATTGGAGGGGGCTGTTCTCGAAGAAATTAGTGAACATCCAGAGACAAGTACAGGAAAAATTAGTTAAACTTCAAATGTGAGTCACATGACAGTTTACAGAATTTCAAAGGAACAGCAATTATATCCTCATCATATTCATCGTGTTCAGGCACTTACGCTACGTGATTCCAACCACGTATGGAATCTGCTCAATGGCTTCAAAGAAAAGTCGAATAACATCTGCAAATTTTATCGAAAATCCTCTTCACAGAAGAGGCTAATTTCTCAAGAAATAGTATCGTGAACTTCCATAACAACCACATCTGGGCGGAAGATAACCCACATGCGATAACGCAAACTCATTTCAAGACAGATTCTCTTTTAATGTTTGGGTAGGTATAATTTAATTGGGCCCTATTTTCGCCCCTTACGTTTGAATGGAGATATGCTTACCGATATTGTTTGGAACACGAGCTTCCCCAACTTATGGAAGATGTTCCCACTAGTCTCCGAAATCACTCTTGGTTTATGCACGATGGAGCTCCTGCTCATTTTAGTGTGGAAGCAAGAAATTTTTTAGACGTAGCATATCCCCAACGATAGATAGGAAGAGGAAGCACTGAGTAATGGCCCCCGAGGTCACCGGACCTCAATCCCGTCGATTTCTCCTTTTGGGGACACCTAAAATCACTAGTTTATGCTAGCCCCATTGAAAACGAGAAAATGTTGAGAAACAAGAAACACTCCGGGCATTTTTCAACGGATTTAGTTTTTGTAATGTTCCCAGCAACTTCACTTAGCGCCCTAGGAGCTAAGTAATATGCATCGATATAGAAAATTGTAAATATCTCGAAAACGATCAACTCCAGCGTTGTTGAAGAGATGTACCTTTTTTACTTGGAAAAGGTGTGGGAATTAGGTTTTTCATGAAAATTATCAAAAGTTCACTGTCAAAAAGTTAGGGCAATTTGAAATAAATAATGACAGCGTACACAGCGCCCTCTAGACATTACATGAAAATTAATACGAAATCATGATTTGCCACGTCAAAAAAACCCCGGATACCGAATTTCGTGCAAATAACTTTTTTTTTGCAAGAGTCATTTTCAAAAAGCGAACAAAAAAATTCAATTTAACACCCCGTATCTCCGAAACATTTTCGGACACAAGTTTATATAGACTTTTTTTCTTGAAATTGTCTCAGGAATACGTCACTCGAATATTTCAACGTACACATGTTACACCCTGTATAATGTCAAAAACTTTAATAGAAGACGCTTTTGCCATAATGAACTACGATGTCTAACAGGCCTTCTCACAGGTCTCTGTCATTTGAATCATCATAATATGCAGAGACTCGGACTGTCGGACGGCAGTGTCTGTCGCTAGTAATTCGTTTTCACAATTCGGGAGTTACATACTAAAATTAACTGATCTTTGATTTCAAAACTCATTTCAAAGTTAAGTTTTTATGTAAGCACTGTACTAGAATGAAAACCCATTTATCGAACACACATTTCGTTGAGTAGGTATTATTTATGAAACGGGATGTTTCTCAGACCGGAGGAATTCTAAATTAGTTCCTGCTTTCCATACGGAAGTCAATACACTAGGCTCCTCAGGCGTAATAAACAAGTACATAGCAATATTATCTGCAGATCTTTTGTAGAGAAACTGCAATAATATATCTCGAAATTTGGTGTATGCCGAAATGGTTGATGTTCACATAGTTCCTACTCTCATTAGAGTTTGTTAATGAAGAACAGTTGTAGCGAGGGTAAAGCTCAAAGTGCGAGCAATATTTCAATAACTTTTTACTTTGACATTGCTTGGTGGAAATAACAGCTCGACAGCATATCACGAATAGTTGATGATGTTGGAAAGGTTCAGTCGTCATATAAATACGCGTATTTTGAAATGAGTTGAAATATGGTTGGAGGATACTTGTATTAGTTACGGAGTTTTCTTATAGTCAATTTCTTTCTATGAAAATCAAATATTTGCTGCGTCATCAATCACTTTCATGTCATTCAGTTGATTATTTGAATTCCATTTCTGGAAAAATTCCCAAAAGTTTTGAAGAAAATGAAAATGAAAGTTTGCTTGAATTTGGTTGACAATTTGAATAAGAAACAGTTCATATTCATTCACCAATAATATTCCTTTCCTTTCGAATAGAGAACGCCGAATATTCGATTATGAATTAATTATTTCATTGTGACATCATCAAGATTCAAATGATAAAATCGAATGAAGAGACTTTTTTGTTGCATCAGGAATCATAGTAGTTTTGAAAAATTTGCTAACTCTATACATGTCCACACTGTAATACCATTTCTCTACAAGATATTGTTCAAAATGAAAGGGGTTAACTTTCAGGAGAAATTATTTTTGGGAAGGAAAGGTTTTGGTTTTTACTTTTCCATCTTTATACTAATAAATATGGGAATCTTCCAAAGGAAAGAAAATATCAATTTCAAAGGATTAACTTTATACAAAAATTTGCAGACCATGCAAAGAAGTAACTTTCAGACACAAACTGCAAAAAATCCTTCTCGAAACAGTTACTTTCATATCAATATTAAAATACACAAAATGAAGAATGCTTTCGTAACAACTACTTTCAAATGAACAATGAATTATACGAAAAATCTTCTCTTTCATTAAGATTAAGAAGTTGAGAGCCAAAAAGTTTTCACTCAAACTTTTTATTTAACGATTCAGATTTGTATTCAGAGTACTAGAATCCAGTGCCGGAAATTTCTTTGCGACAAGGTTCAAAGGCGTTTAGTCCTGATGAAGTGTCCATCATCGCAATTGAAAAGTGAGCCAATGGACTCGCACCAATATATTGTAGACTTTTCAACCTGTCATATAAGGAGAGTGTTTTTCTTTCTTGTTTTAAGTAACCAGATATGACTCAATTCTCTCAATGGATAATTATAGGCAAATAAATGTACCCAGCATTGCAAAATAACCGAGAGAGCTATGTACAATAGACTGATACCTTACCTTGACAAACATAAAATGATTAAGGACTCACAAAACGGGTTCTATCCTTGGAGATCTACTGAGACAGCTATTCGTACATTTGTTGAGTACATCTTGATAGAAAAAAACTTGTAGGTGCCTTTTTTTTCGATCTCATGAAAGCTTTTGATTGCCTAGACCTAGATCATACTGAAACCAAGCTGTACTCACTAGGAATTCGTGGAAATATATTCAAGTGGTTCATGTCATTTTTGAGGCACAGAAAAATTATTGTGAAACTCAATGGAGCACGATCTGAATTGCATAACAGAAGTACCACAAGGATCTATACTGGATCCATTGATTTTCCTTATGTTCATCAATGATCTGATTATTTGCGGATTATTTAGTATTATATGCCGATGATATATCTGTTGCATTCCACAGTGAAAATGAATGTGAATTTGATGAGGAAGTTAACGAACTTCCTAACAAATTCAGTAACTGGTGTGTCTCTAATCTATCAATACCTAATTACAACAAAACCATTTTTATGCAATACTCTATAAAAAACAATAGTATGGTCCCGGAAATAAGTATACGTAATGGGACATTACTCATCTTTGATTTTCGTAGGCGTATTGCCTCCCAAAAATAAATATTCAATGCCTGCTCGATACTCAGTTTTGTCCATTTTCGTAGAAACACTCACATCAACTCATACAAACAACTGTTACAAAATAAAGTGGCTGAAACTTTGGAGAGTAACTGTCAACAGATGAACAACGTATCTACTAGCTTTTGTTAAAGAGTGCTGCCATCTTCATGTTATGGTCGAAAACTTTCCAGATCACCCTCGTACTTCTAATTGTATCGAATCAAGAATTACACTGTTTTTGTATAGATTTACCACGAACCTCTACCAGGCACTCATTCAATCCAACAATCACAGAAATCGCAGCCACCACTCTAATCTCCATTTGTTTCAGGAGGTGGTATTCCGGACATAGAACTCACGATGCCGCCTTCTCATGTGGCGCTCAGCGGCGATCTTCACGTACAAATCGTTTCATCATCTTTCCCGCCCCTCTTGCTACAATTATCCCGTCTCGAAGGCAACCTGGCACAGCCTCTGACGACTTTTCCCGTTTATCCAGAAGCCGGAGCGTTAGCAAAAAACACGACGATAGTCAAGATACCGTGCGGATATTTTTCGAGGGGAGGACAATATTATGTTTTGGTGAAGAAGCAGCCAATAGGTGAGTGGTTCCTCTTCAAAATTATTGGTGGCGGAATTTTTTGTCTATTTTGAAAAGTTCAGTTTGACATCAATTGATTTTTAGCGTATTCAAAAAAAACTTCATTGCGAGATATTCACTAAATAGTAACTATATTCTACATTTTTCATGCCTAATATTCCTAATTTTACAATTAAAAGCACCTAAATTTCAAATACCTGAGTTTTACCTGAGTTTGTAATGAGTTAAAATACCTGAGCTTATGTCCCAGTTTCCACATTTGAAAAAATATTCAGTAACGAGAAGCTATTCAATTCTAATTGATCAATCAGTAAATTACCCGAATTCTTGAATCTATTGATTTTTGAAAATTCTAGAAGATCAAGTTTCCAACTTCTTTCTTCTGAATGTAATACGTTGTATTCATGATTAAACTAACGTCCTTCTGCTAAAAGGTAGTTTGCAAATATGGAATTGATCTTTTTATCCACAAAACCACTTCTGTGTTCTTCAATTCTTTGGGAAAATGTTCTTCTTGTTTGACCAATATACAGTTTTGGGCAGGAGCCACATGATAGCTTATATACTCCTGATCTATCCGAAAGTTTTGCCTTTATTGTTTTTAATAAATTCACTTAGACTATTATTCGTTCTGTAGGCTACGTTTACGTATTCTTTCTTTAAAATACGGACAATAATATTGGTGGGTTTGCCCAAATATGACAATGTCCTTGCGGTACCCGACAGAATAGTGAGTTGCATTGAACAACTGACACCACTTTGGCGAACACGCTTCACCGTAATATCTGGTCAAGCATGAGTCCAAACAGGGTGGGTCACTTTCAGAAGGAGTTTATTTCAGGGCGATTTCCTCAATCCCCTTCTCTTCTGTATCTCACTATTGCTATTATTCGTTGCGCTCAGAAATACTCGAGGGTATAACTGTGGCACCCCCGGAGACCTGAGGCACAAGGTCACCCATCTATTTTTTATTGATGATCTTAAACTTTATGCCTCTGGAGAGAAGAATTTCCATCAGTCCTTGAGGGTGGTGGAAGAGGACACGCATGATATCGGTATGAAATTGGGGATAGACAAATGTGCAATGGTCCATCTGAAAAGAGGACGATGCGGGGACTATGGAGCTCGTAGATAGAAGTATCCTAGATCATTTGGATGCCGTAGAGACGTATACTCACCTCGGGGTGGAACAACGCCACTCACAAGAGGTAACAGCAGTGAAGAACTCTCGCCGCGGCAAGTATCAGCACAAGTATCTGTTCATCAGAACTGTCGGGGAAGAATAAAGTTGCTGCAACAAATATGCTTGCCGTTCTAATCTTATTCTACTTGTTTGGAGTAGTGAAGTCGACTCAGGAGGAGTTGTATCAACTTGACGTAAAGACCCGAAAATTCATGCATCTCTATATATTTGCGTCCCAAATCGTCCGTTCCACGGTTGTACTTTTCCCGATATCAGGGAGGCCATGGACTTTCGAGTTTGGAGAGTCTACAAAACAGAATGGTACTGGATATAGCCTGTGAAGTCGTCAGGAGTTCGGATCCCCTTCTATTCATGGTCCGTGATCATGATATAGTGACGAAGTGAACGAAGTGACCACAACTCTGTCACCGAGATTGAACCCGTTCAGCAAAATGCTCATATGAAAGCCGCAGAGATCACCTCACTTCTACTATAACACAAGGATAAGCCAATGTATGGAGACCTTGTCTGACTTTCGCTTTCCTCAGGTCGAGTGGGCTGACGTCGGAAACTGACGGTTTCATCACGCCTTCCCAGACACCTCAGTCTATCGCAGTCGCGTGATGGCTATAGAGGTTCCTGACACAAGGTGCAGAGCTTGTCGCGAGACGCCCGAGACCCTAATGCAGTTACTATCAGCATGTCCAGCATATGCGGTTTCGGCCTATATCCATCGACATAACGCGGCCTTGAGAATGCTATATTACCATCTACGCCACTCTCACGGTATTGACAAGACACCGGTGTTGCCCTACGCTCCGGTGGATATTGAATCAGTTGTGGGGAAAAAGAAGTGCCGAATACATTCGAACTCTTCGTTTCCCACCCTCAGGCTCATACAAGCTAGTCCTTCTCGACCAACAGAGCAAAACGATATATGTCGTGGAATTTTCAGCTCCTGGAGAGATGAATATCGTCAGAAAAGAGGAAGAATAACGGATAAACTCCGCAAACTTCATCCATATCACTCTGTTAAGATTCTTGTTCTGATTATTGGGGTCCTTGGTGAAATGATGCCCTCACTACTCTCAAATCTTAAAATCATACCGGCTTGCCGCACTGAGACAGCAATCTTAGCCGCACAGATGCAGAAGGCTGTCATTCTTGGCTCACTGCGCTTGCTCAGGGCACATGATTCTCGGACCCAATGATCACTTACCCCACGGTGTGGGGAGTGGTTGTTGGTTGATATTGCTGGCGCGCCCTTTCGAATGTATCGGCGGATAGGGCCTGGCCAGCGCATACTACAGTAAAAAAAAAATCATTCATGAATCTTCAAAACTGTACGACTAATTGTGTGACATGTAATATGTTGATGAATATGATTAAACAGGGTACTCATTGAAGCTGAATTGGGTACAGCTTGTGCGTGATGATGATGTCCCATTTTCAATATTTTTTCCAGTATTTCAGCAATATTCGAAATCAGCGAGATTGGACGATAATTTCCGAGTTCTTCTTCATCGCCTTTCTTGAATATAGTTTTACAATTACCATTTTCGAAAAGTTGAGGAACAATCCTGAGTTGAAACATTTATTAATTAAAAACAGTTTTGTAACAGCGATTTGATTTGATATTTCTTTCAAAGATTCAATGTTATCTCTTCCCGGGGATTTTTAATTTTTCAATGTTTTGATTATTTTCGTTACTTCAAATTCATACATACATACATTCCCACAAATTTTCACATTTATATCAGTATAGATAGATATAGATAAATAAATAAAACGATATAGCCGTTACTTTCTAGTTTTTGAAAAATTTTGTATCGCGCAAGAAAATGAATACTTATTCGACACCATGCTACTTTCAGATGAACTGAAAAATGTTTGCAACTGAAGAACGATCACAACAAAGCATTTTCTGTTCACCACTAATCACTGTAACTTTTTGCAAGACAACTAGTTCTAACTCCTTTGAATGCTCAGTAATCAACCTCGCAGCGAAACAAGGCATTGTCTCTGGTGGAATCCTCAGTTAACGTTGGTAACTCCTCTTTGAAGGAAAGTTAGTATGAATATGGCCGGTAATAAGCAAGACATAATTACCCCCATATTCAGAGAGGTCGATTTGTTCCGCTGAATAGTCACAATGGCTCGTGAAATTGGCACGACTGATGGGAGTTGCCAAGTACAGATTCATGTTATATAGTGAATGTTTTCTATCTATCATGAGCTGTTGCTTTCGAGGAGAACTCATAACTCCATGTTGTATTGATGTTAGAAATAATTCTATGAAAAGTCTAATAATAAGCTAGGGTTTTTATGGTAAAAATAAAGTGAGAACTTCTCGAAAACCAGTTACACTGATATTTTGGTAACTGTGACGATGGATAATTTCATCAAACACCACCAATCGATATTCAATATAAGGTACTGTACTCTTTACATGCAAACATCATTAACTTCCTACAAATCAATCATACCAATCATACCAAAAAAGTATCAACGAAGAACAAGGTCGCGAAGCTAAGGCTTCTGCAATGAGCAGCGGACTCACTAAGATTATAAATGAGCCAACCAGGATTCCTGATCGTGATGGAGATTTTAGTCTTCTTGATATGTAGCTAACAACCAATCCAAAATTTCACATAGGTACCGAGAGGTCTCCATTGAGATCTTCTGACCACAAACTCATTCCAGTATTGAGTGGATCACCGATGAATGTTAGAGAACTATAAAAGCCGCGTAGAGTTTGGGATAACAGATCTGCTGATTGAGAGGATCTTCAAGACCATTTTCGAAATTTTCCCTAGCCAGATGTTTGTTTCAGCTCCAATGATCCATCAACTTGTGCTTTTGAAGTCATGAAAGTTATTCTATCATCTATGGATACATATATTTCTTTTTCAATAAAACAAATTTCTAATGGCAAACCTTGGTTCAACAAAGATTACCTGCTAGCAGTCGTTTCCAAAATTTTCGTCTACTGCCAATGCGCGAAAATTCCAGTGCCAAAAACCAAACTAGGTTTGGGAATGCTCGCTACAGCTGCAATATTAGAATGAATGAAAGCGAAGAACTTTACAAACAGAGAATTAGGAATAAATCCCAACAGGTTTAGATCATTCTGGTCGGTAGCTGAAGCTATTAATCAAAACTCTACAAAATCCACAATTTCACCACTAACACAAGCGGATGGTTCAATTGCAACAACAGCCATTTAAAAAGAGAAGTTACTAACTGATTAATTTGCATCCCACTCCACAGTCAATTTTCTGAAAACGGTATCATCCACTATTCCCACCAAAAATTAATTATCAACGTCTATTCAGGCGAGTTTCGAAAATCAACAAGGCGTCTGGTCCTGATGAAGTTCCCGTCATCGTCCATTGAAAATGTGTTTATGAACTCGCGCCAGTATCTTGCAGACTTTTTGTCCTGTCTTACAAGGAAGGGGTTTTTCCTTCTGGTTGGGAGATTGCTCGCCTCCAAAGGTCAAAATGGGCAAGAAAAATATTTCAAATAACTATAGACTAGCCGCTTTGCTTTCATTGATATCAAAAATCATAGCAGAAGCAATGAACGACCACACCTTTGAATATTTGGGGGGGACTTTAACATCTTGAGCGATCATCAATATGGCTTTTGGTGATGAAGATCAACAGGCATCAGGCAAAAGACGTATGTCACTCATATTTGGAATAACGCAATCGGGAAACATGGAGAGTCAAGAGCTAAATTTTTTGACGATGTGTGGCATGGGGATTTTTTGGCTAAACTTTGATGCTATGACTTGTCGAATCATTTTTGGGTATTGCTCTCCAGCTTCCTAAAGGGACGTTCCCTGCATGTGGCCGTCGATGGATATCTCTCAGGTACATTTACCATCAGCGCTGACATAATTATGTCGCTGGAATTGCAAAGGCTGCTTTCCAAAAGCGTGGAGCACTCTTCAAACCTCAGCATTTTTTGATGCTCTATAAAGCTCAGATCAGACCTTCTTTGGAGTATTGTCCTCATGTATGGAGCGCCACCCCTAAGCATACCCTGAAGCTGCTGGATTCCTTCAGAAAAGAGCCATCCGCCTGATTGGAGATACGAATATTACTTGCAATCTCGATAGTCTGTGAAGCTACTGTAATAGCGAAACATGTCTTGATATTTGTGGAAATAAAGTTTGTGAAGATCAAATCGTTTCCGGTGATGTTTGTGACGTTACTGTAGATCTTCATCAAATAACGGCCAAGCCAACCAAAAAAAAAGTTCGCTGAAGAAGGATGAACTGAAGACGTTGTCATCCTTTAGAGATCAGATTTTTTTCTGCAGACAAAAATATCAGGAATATTATACGTAATCAATGATGAATTCAAACAAGATAAGGAATACACCAAAGTCTAGTTCTACCGAGAAGAAATCATGACACTTCAATGAAAAAATGAGTTTAATTTGAGGTCATCCAAACTCCACAACAACAAAATGTCATGAAAGTGCCTAATTTGAGATGAGAATTTGAATTATATGTCCCACCTATTTAATGACTGATTATTTCACCTAAGTATTGATACAAACTGATTAAAATTAAAAATTTGAATGTTATAGAAGAAATTTCTCAAGCTCATTGAAGGGGTATGCTAAAATCTGAACAGATTCGATATAGGGAAAGAATTCAATCCAATTTGGTCGTTCAGTGAATTTTTAGAATTGCTATGTCTAATATTTCAAGCACTCCAATAGATTGAGTTTACAATCCTTTCAAATTAATACACAATATACAAGAACTGGTTACTCCAAAAAATACACCAGGAACGATTTAATCTTCACAAACAATATTCTCAAAAATATCACATGTTTCGCTGTCACTCTACCTTTTTCTTACAAACAACAAAACTGGTTACCAATATACTTATAAGTACTCAAACTTCACTTGAATTATAGTAGGTTTTTAGATTTCAATAACACTAGTGTTATATGAAAATCAAAGGGGAATTTCAAAAATATTTAACTATTTTTCAAAGCTTGTCCACTTTAGTGAAGGCAATTATTAGAAAGTTTTGGGGAATGTGCCGTTTCATTAATTGGTGAGGAATAAATTTGCGAGTTCAGAATATTTTCTATTTTGTCTCAATCAATTCATAAATTCTGTTGATTATACATTTCAATGCCTTATTTCATAACTGAGAGCTTTTCAACAGCTCAAATAACCTTTACCCTATTAGAAAAGCTGCAAGCAAACAATTCGTGATGATTATTAACTCACGCTCGTAGTTTCTCAGAAATGGCGTCTAGAACTTTGGGGATGTTTTATATTGATGAAATGAATCCCTCTGTAAACGGTTTTCTATTACATTTAATGAAGTTGTGCCATTCGGTGTGTTTATCGACGTTATTTTTCGAAGCAAAACTATTTTGGCGAATGCTCCTGACAGAACTTTTGACAAATGTACTAATTCACACTTTTGGCAGATGTGCTGTTTCAATAATTGGTGAAGGATACATTTGCGAGTTCTGAATAAATTTTGTATTTCGTCTCAATCAATTCATAAATTCAATTGAATATTCATTTCGATACCTTATTGCATAGTTCAAATGACCTTTATCCTATTGTGAAAGCTGCAAGCAAACAGTTCATGGGTAGTGTTCACTCACGCTCGTTATTTCTCAAAAATTGGGTCTCAAACTTTGACGACGTTCGTTAATAATGAAATTTATGTGTAAACGGTTTTCTATTACAGTTAATGAAGTGACAATTTTGGCGAAGGCGCTTACTCAAAATTTTGGTGACTGAGTTGTTTCAATAATTGGTGGAGGATCAATCTGAGGGTTTATTATGCTTAAATTTTTATTCTATGATTATTTTATTTCTTATCTCAGTAAATTCATAAACGTAGCATTCTCGTAGTGAAAACGTTTTCCCTACAAAATAGTTCGTAAGGTGTAGTTTATGAAACTACTATGGATCTTCATCATGTAACGGCCGAATCAATCAGGAAAAACAATATATATTTCAATGCATTATCACATAACTGGAAGCTTTCCAATAGCTCGAATAACCCTTCTCTTATCAGAAAAGCTGCATGCAAACAATTCGTGAGGAATGTTCACTCACACTGGAAATTTCTCAGAAATGGCATTTCAAACTATGACGATGCATGATATTGATCAAATTTCTCTGTGAACGGTATTTTATGTAGGTGACTGAAGTTGGTGTTAATCGGTTTATTTATCGACATTATTTTTGTACAACGTATTTAAAGAAAAACAAGTCTTCGATAACTGATGGTATTGCATAGTAATTTTTTCAGATGAATCATTAATAATAATAATTTCATTAACAAACAAACTTGACGCAAGTCAAATAATTATTTTTATTGATGTTTTTCAAAGCAGCATATCTCAGTTATTCATATTTTCATTCTTTTGTGACCTATGACGAAGTGAAAACTGATTTCTAATGTATCTGCAAATAAAAAACATTAATAAAAAAAATTGAAAATTTTCAATTTTTCTCATATATCTTATGATCCAGAACAGCTAGAATGGAATTATCTATGTAACTCAATAGTACCTGGAGATAGATAACTTTTCTGCGATTGAAACTTTTTTAAATCTCTTGCGGTTTACGAGATCCTAATGCCTATACTGAAATGTGAATAGATCTGTCAATGACGGAAAAACTAAATCGTTCAAAATAATTGTACTTTTTCCATAGAACTTTCCTGTTTTATTTCTTCTTGTATTGAAAGAGTTGTCCAAAGTAACGTGTTTGTTAGATTCCTTTTGATTCCTTAAGAAATTTGGATCAAATCTATTTTGGTTCTTTTTCACTTCTGACTCACCTTTGTCAAGTTCTTGATTAGAAGTCACCCGTTTCAGTAGATTCACACAGCTACAAAATCTACTTTGACAAAAGACCCTCTGACTTATGGAAGCAAATAAATATATATCTAATCACGTACCTTCCGAAATCAGAAAGGAGAAAAATCATTACAAATTCAGAAAAATAACGAAAGAAGCTCTACTCAAAAAAACATTCTATACTATAGAGGAATTTTACTGTGAAACTCTGCTATGATTTTATTTTAGATATGATTTTATTCTCAGTATGTATAACTTATATTTTATTTGCCGTTTAAGTTAATTTTTATGTGATTTTTTTATATGCCCACTCATTTTATCTATATTTGACATATGTTTATTTTTCAACTGGGTTCAATATAGTTTCAATATAGGGTTTTTCTACTTTTGTGAATATTTTGTATATTTGTAACATGCTTTGTCAATATGAACTTGATTTTTAGTCAAAAATATTTGAATTGAAATGAAATGAAACCTGTTATTGACCTCTGTAACTTTGAATGAACACCAAAATGTCTACTTCTACACTGAAGACACGAAATCTATACGCTACCTTTGATAAAGACTCTCCCTCGCTTTGAAGTTTTATGAGAAATGAGACCAGTCAGCCAATATACAACTAATTGGAAAATTGTAATGCCCGAAGATGTTACTGTATAGCGAGACACGTGTCGTGGATTTGTAAACTGTCATAATAGAGTCTTTCCAAATACGTTGAGATGGATTTTTATGAAATATCGGTAATTTCTATAAAATTCAACAGATATAAAATTTTGACAGATATTTGAAAAATCCAACTACAGCGTGTTTCAAGTTGACTTATGACTTTAAAGGTTTAGAGGTATATTTCTGTATAAATTACTGTGAAAAACGGTGTGGCTTCCTTTTCCCCCATCATTGAACAAAAAAAATTCTTCGAAAAAACGGATCTCAATATTCATTCCAGAAAACATCAATTACTTTGTGGTGTGAATTTTATTCAATCCAAGTTATGAATTACGATCAAACGAATGAACACTATATTCACTCGATTTTTTTGCAGGCTCAAAAAATATAACCAAACTATCACAGCAAGATGAATCTGTGATACGTCGTAGTTTGGATGTTCGGTGGCCGATGCCGCAATTATCCTTGACCCCGGAAAATCTGCAGACTTATCCGGAGCGACCCGTCATGGCCATACTCGAATTCCCCGAAGTTGTGTGTCCTCCTGTAGCGGACAGTCCAGCAAGCGCCATACCGGAGTTTTGGCTGGAACTTCATTATTGTGGACAGTCCCTCCTCACCTGTGATAATACCGTTTTCCCCAAGTTTAATGGAAGTGTTCAGGTGAGCAGAATGGAAAACAAACGTTATATTTAGAATTTCGCCCGTGACTGGGTCCAAGTATTCAAATATTGTTAATGATGAATAATGAATAATAACAATCTGCTTCTCCTTTGGCGTTTTCAGGATACATTTTTCTCTTCTCCAAGGTTTAGGCTCTAACAACGTGAGAGTGGTCCACTTCATCAATGTCATTGATTCGAAGTGTTTTAGGAGAAACAGTAGATAGTTTGAACATACATTGATAACTGTCAAATCAAATGAGGAACATCTGAAAGTGGAAAAAATATTTTATATATAATTCTAGGTTCCTAGAAATTTCACAGTCACAGGAGAATTCTACCAAATTTACAAAAAATATGTGAAGCTTCGACCATGCACAAATTAAAAACTTCTTTTTTATTTTAATTACAAAAATAGCAAATGTACGAAACAGCCTCTGGGGATAAATGAATTTGACACCATGGCGGAAGAAATAGCGAAATTTTTGCAATCACCGAACCCTGAATTATACAGGGTGTAACTGAATGAGTGTAAAACATTTGAGGGGGTGATTCATCATCGAAAAAAAAAAGGATCTTTCATAGGAAGAAATTTCATTGGAGCATCCCTTGTTCAGATACAGCCCCTTAAATGGGGTACATAAAATTTGTATAACAAGCACTGAAAAACTTACAATATTGAAATCAACCTGACGTTTTGTACTACCGAAAAGACACTTAGCCAGTAATTTATTTGGTTTACCTCATGGTTGTTAGAGATGGAAAACGCAACCCCTAAAATTTATTTCCAATGTAACTTTTTGTCTTATAATTTGTTTACCATTTGAAAATTTATTTTCGATAGTTTGTTTCATTCTAAACAACAAATGTCTCTTAGGTTTCTGGCCCAAAATAAACCAGTTCGCAGCAAAAAATCATTTTACGAACAACTACAGGGATACATCGTCATAAATGCGAACTAGATTTATTGTTATTTTGTAGTTAGTACCTGCATTAAACTATTGAAGGGTAATGAACAGAACTAATTTATCAATAACAAAACACACAACATGTAGAAATCATAGTAAATGTTCAATATGTCTACCTTCAGACATTACGCATGCGTCTAGACGTCAGCGCATTGAGCCACGTATTCGCTCAAATATTCCTGGAGTCTCTCTGATTACCCTGCTTGCATCGATGATGCGGTTTCTTCAGTCCTCTACATCGCGAACAGGAGAACGATAAACCAAATGCTGTAAATGGCCCCAAATAGAGAAATCGGTAGGATTGAGATCCGTGGATCGAGCGGGCCAGTTCTGTGGTCCTCCTCGACCTATCCACTGATTTGCATATGTTTCAGTCAAATGCTGACGTGCTACTTGACTGAAATGGGCGGGAGCCACATATCCCGTCTGACGCCCAAAGGAACTTTCTCCAGCAGTACTGCATGCACTTCTCTTAAAAATTGAACGTATGCCTCACCATTTAATCGGGGAAGTAGAAAATGAAGCCCAATTGAATCATCCCCAATAACTCCGAGCCACACATCAAGATAAAACTGTTCTTGATGGTAAGTTTCGACAGTAGCGTGAGGGTTTTCATCAGCCCATATGTGGTAATTATGAAAATTAATAATCTTGTCCCGAGAAAAACTACATTCGTCTGTGAATTCTATCGTCTTCAGAAAGTCACAAATTCTTGTAATCATTTTCAGCATCCAATTGCAAAATTCAAGACGGTTCGGAAAGTGTCGCGGTAACAGTGCCTGAACTCGTTGCAGATGGTAAGGATATGAGAGTTGTTCCTTTAAAATTCGAAATACCATCATATGTCACCGTCATAGCTGGAAAGCAATCGTTCTAGTAGTGGTAGTAGGTTGTTCTTCAATCAAATTGAGTACTTCTTCTTCAAGCTGTGGTGTTCGTACTTCTCGATGGCGACCACAATCCTGCGTTCTTTTGTCGAATGAACCATATTATCGTAATCGTTGATGAAGTTGAGCAAATATTCTATGTAAAGGATGCTGCCGTTGAGGATACATTTCAGCATATCTTCTAGAAGCTTCTAACCCATTCCCCTGCGACCGTGAACGTAATGCATATCAGCTATTTCCTCATTTGTGTATGCCATTTTAATAACAAGTGAATTATTAAAGTAACAAATTGAGAACAGAATAACTACACATAATTAGTATTAATTTAATTTCGGAAATTCACAAACTGACAGCGTCATACCAATTTAATTGTCACTATCGCTAATAGCGACCTACTAGACAGATTGGTTTCATATTCTCGCATTCATGACGATGTATCTCTGTAGTTGTTCTTAAAATTATTTTTTTTCTGCGAACTGGTTTATTTTGGGCAAAAATCCCAAGAGACATTTTTTGTTTAGAATTAAACAGGCTATATCGGAAATAAATTTTCAAATGGTAAACAAATGATAAGACAAAAAGTTACATTGGAAATAAATTTTAGGGGTTGCGTTTTCCATCCCTTACAACCATTGGGTAAACCAAATAAATGTCTGGCTAAGTATCTTTTTGGTAGTACAAAACGTCAGGTAAATTTCAATATTGTAACTTTTCTAGTGCTTGTGAATAGAATTGTTATATAAATGTTATGTAACCCCTATAAGGGGATGTATTTCAACAAGGAATGCTCCAATGAAATTTCTTTATATGAAAGATCCCATCTTTTTTTTTGATGAGGAATCACCTCCTTAAATGTTTTACACTTATTTAGTTACACCCTGTATACTGGCCACCGTTTCCGAAGGTCATCTGCGACTATTTCAGTTAATGCAGGGCAAATCTTTCAACTTTAAAATGCCATGGGGTTCGAAATCCAGCAATGTTGCTACATCTTGCATCGACAACTCCAAAGCTAACAAAATGAAAATTTCAAAAAGTATAGAACCTGAACACAACAATGCTGTGGAAGCTAAGTACGTTTCCCCATCAACTTCAACTTCGACTGCAGCTAATATTTCAATCACCGACAAGATGTTGAAACAAAAAGACCTAGTATCAGGAGTTACTTCACAAAATTGTTCGAATATAACTGTTAATTACTATTTTGAATAAAATATAAAAATGTATTCAAGTATTATCATATGTGTATTTTAATTTTCAATACTTGAAAACAACGCAACCGTAGAAAAAGTACAGTGTACAATGCCTGAAAATGATATATTTCTCACTCGCTTGATTTGCGGCACTCGCCTTTGGTTCGTGCCAACAAACTTCTGTGCTTATAAGAAATATGTCGTTTTTCTCAATTTTTGTACAATATACTATTTTCTACAAGCTTTTATCTTGTTTGAAGCATTTTTATATATGTCAGTTTGAGAAAAATCTCTCAATTGAATTTTGAAAGAGTAATCCACAACAGATCGATGAAAACAGACCATTTTTCATGGATATTGAATGAATGGATTTGCTGAAAGGATGGCCTTAGTGCTCACCTCCCATAAAACACTATAGAAAGAAAAACGAAACTTCACGTCATGTTCCCGTCCCGGCATGTTCTCTTCCTGTGCCGTCCTGTCGCAGTTTAGGCCAGATAGCTACTGAATATCCGTTACATCTCTCTTTTAACTTCACTTTCTACGATAACCAGCCTATCATCTGATACTAATGAATCTGTTTTATTGTCCAGGGTCTCTACTCGGAGCAGGTGCGTGGTTTTCCAGGACGTCGAGTGCTCACCTTGAGATGCGAATTATTTGGGCTGGCCGGTCATTACGCACTCGTTCTGCGGCCCACAACCCCCTCACTGGAACTGCCGCACACCGCTGCCTATGTCAAGGTAATTCAGTAACTATTTCTCGCCTGTAACGTTGAATTCAGTGATTAGTTAGCGCTGGACACCGCCGCCTATGTTAAGGTAATTCAGTAACTATTTCTCGCCTGCAACGTTGAATTCAGTGATTAGTTAGCGCCCGTGTAACTTTTGGTTCTGCCGACTGGCTGTGCGTTTAATGAAGACGCATCGAGCATTGGGATGGGGTTAACTCGAAACTGATTATAGGGAGGGCAAAGGTCAATTCTGTCGAGTGAATGTACCGGAATAATGCGGTTGCTGAAGTTTACACTGTGTTTTCAATAACAAATGTTGATTTTAATGAGGTTGGTTTTGGTTCCGTTTCGAGTCCGTTTTTCTGTAAAACTATGAGCAGTCCAGAACGAGAAATAAAAAGAAAACATTTCTCAGAAGTGTATCTATGCAGTGACATTAATACTGCGACCAACATATTTATAGACACAATAAAAAAATATATAAAAGAAAGTGCAACGAATATTAAAATAAAAAATTCTCAATTTAGGAAAAAAATTTATGACAGACGGCATCTTGAAATCGGTTAATCATAAGCTTGAACTATATGAACTATATGCAATAAAAATGAAATTCCCAACTGATGAAAATATGCAAAATTATAAAACAAATACAGAAACAAATTGAATGATATAATGAAAGATGTAAAAAAAAACTATCAGAACGTAATTGGAAAAAATAAAGATAGCTCGTTGAGTCTATGAAAGTGTGTAAATGAAATAACAGCAGAAACATAGAAGAATTAAGCTCTAAATAAAATAATTGATGGGAACGGTGACATTCTCACCGATAACAAACAGATGACTAATGAATTTTATGATGTCTTCTCAAGTATAGGACAAAAAATGGCAGAAGCAATAATACAACATAATAATATACATCCACAGGCTCTAAATCAATCGATGAACTCATTTTTCCTAGGGGAGGCAAATGATGATGAAATATATGGATACATTGATAAATTGAAAAAGAAGAAAGCACCAGGTCTTGACAACGTGACTGCCGATATTATAAAACTAATTGCTGAATACATCATCAAACCCTTGGTCTATATCATAAATTGGTCTATACAAACTGGCATATTTCCATCCGCTCTCAAGATTTCTGTAATCAAACCACTGCACAAGAATTGAAACAAAGAAAATGTTTCAAATTACCGTCCAATTTCCTCGATCTCTAATTTTGCAAAAATTTTAGAAATGGTACTGAAAACGCGTCTAACAAGCTATTTAAAAAAATATGAATTAATATAGGAAAAACAATTTGGCTTTAGAGAAAATAGATCCACGCAAGACGCCATAGTATACGTCACTTCCAAAATATCCAAATATGTTGACAAAGCCAAACCAACTTTGGTCATATTTATAGATCTCGCTAAAGCGTTCGACACCATCGACCATCATAAGTACATTGCTGAAGATATTGGAAAGAATTGGGATAAGAGGAAAAACATACGATCTGATGAAAAACTATCCACAAGGAAGAATTCAAAGAGTTAGGGTAAATGATAGCCTCAGTGAAGAAACAGTAATACAATATGGTGTTCCACAGGGCACAGTACTGGGGCCTATACTCTTCAATGTTCATCTCAACGATTTGCTAAAACTAAAATTAGGAGGAGATGTGGTAAGTTATGCTGACGACACAGCAATTATTCATGTAGACGAGGATTGGCAATCTTTAAAAAAAAAAGCTGAAAGAGACTTAAAAATATTCCAAGAGTGGTTTATAAATCGGCTTTCAACAATGAACATCGAGAAAACACATTTCATACCTTTCACCTCATACGTGAAGAACTTACCAGAATATGACATCCTTCAAATATATGGCAACCAAACAATATCGATGGTCCATAATATTAAATATTTGGGAGTATTCATAGACTGTAATTTGAAATTGGACATCTATATCGCCTTTGTCTTGAAAAAACTACGAAGTACATTGTCAAAGTTCAAATATTTATCGAGTATTTTGAAAATTGACAGCATACTTACAGAAATACACTGATAGCCATAAATCATAACTACAGTACACGTCACAAAATCAATTCTTCTGGTATACCAAGACCAAATATAAACACCCTACGAAGACTTTATGTCTACTTGGGACCCAAATTATATAGCTTGATCCCTCATGAAAGGAAAGAATATAATTTCTATCATTTATTTAAAGCAAAAATTGAGAAATAGATAAGCGCCCAGTCACGCCTTTCCATCCATCAATATATTGATATGAAAAACATTTTACAATTTGTTATAAAAAAAAGATCAAATTGAAAAAAAATCACATAGAAATTATTGCCCTATACTATAAGTATTCTTCCGTTACTGTTTCCTTGGTATCTATATTTGATATATACAACATTATTCTCTCTTCATTCAACACTTCTTCCATGATTTTTTATATATACATTTCTTTAAATTTTATATTTGCAACACCATTTTTACATTTTATATATAAAACACTATTTTTTCTATATTTTATATACTTTAGACTTCATATTTGAATTTTATATCAACATCACTATTTATTACTCTTCTCATACTCTTTTCGTGATATTTTATATATACAACATTATCCTTGATTTAATATTTACAGCACTATTCTTAAAATTTTATATTCACAACACTATTTTGAATTTCATTTATACAACAATATTTTTATATTTCAAACACTTTATAATTCATATTTCATATTTTCTTTTAATTTTCCTGATATGATTTCGAGATTCTGGATCTACGTAGACAATTTCACTGTAGTCAAGGTCCGCCTTTTGGTACTTTGTCTACTTTGACCAGATCCCCTATTACGCTAATTGAATGTATTACTTTTGTAAAGTTTTACTCCCACTACCAAGGCTTGCCTTGTTGGGTAGATGTATTTATTTACCATTGAATGTCTTCTTTCATTGTACCTTTTCTTTTAATGAAATATAAATAATATTATTATTATATCAAGGTTGCAAGTGATGTTCGCGTCTCCACTCAGGCGGATGGATCTTTTCTGGATGGAATCCAGCAACTTCAGGGTATGTTTGGGGGCAGAGCTCCATACACTAGGAGAAAGATTAACAGCTCCGCATCGAAGCGTATCCTGGGGTTTTTAGAGAAGAGCCATCTGACTGATTGCTAGCAAACAACCTTGGTAGCCTAGACTGACCTACAGGATCGAAAAAGAGTCCAAATAATATTTCTGTTCGGTAGATAGATGATTGAGAAGTGATCGGTCTCAGTGGTTCACTTTTATACACCTCCACCTACATTTTCCAAAAACTCTTCCATTAGGAGAAGAAAAAGAAGTCCTTATTGAATGAACTTTCCGATATAATTTATCAACCTGAAATTTGTAAACCAACCTATAAATGCGAAAGTAACACACCTAACACTCACGAAAGTAACACACTTAATACTCAATCCCTCTGTACTAGTAAGTCCTAGGAAGCTAACATTTGGTATAAAGGTACTATTTAGGTGTTCAATGCGCACTAAGGAAGGATTTCAAAATATCTCATCTGGGGAGTCGAGTCTCCCGTGGGGGAAAAAGGGACGCGTCTACATAAGAAAATTTCATTTTCATCATTGTTTCTCCGTACCGCTTTATTTTTGTAGGCTGAAATTTCATGTTGTAGATGTGCATTGGGCTCTCTATCGGGCGCGTCCCCAGGTGGTGGATAGGGAAACGGCCAGGGGACTGGGGGCTCTGTCCGGGAAGCTAATATGTGGCCTTACGGACGGGATCGCCGGACTCCTTATCAGTGGCATAAATAAATAGGGTAAGGGGAACTAAAACTCCCCAGAAGCCTTTGCGAAACATGCCACCGTGGACCAGCTTACCCAAGCTAAGGTGTAAGGAATCGTGCCGACAGCTGAATGGCCGCAGGTTGATATGCGGTTACGAACGATCCCCTTGGAAAACCGGGCGAAATTTCATTGTAATCAGCCTTTCTCTGGTAATGCGGGGCTTTGCCAGAGGTGACCAAATCTTCCTTCGCTACTCGTGAGAACACACATATATGAAACAAACAAATAGACACATCAAAAACTAATCCCGAGGCTGTACAAAAGTGCTCACCTCAATCCATGGCGGTGGCTGGGGATGAACAGAAATGTCCACCCTAATCTACCGCTCGGAATGAGGCTGGACATAGCAGATCACCTCGTGATATGATACAAAGGCGGCGCATTCGCAGCGCCGAGGCCAAAAAAAGAAAAAGAGCGAAAGAGAGCAAGGGCACTTCTTGCGGCGGGCGCCAAGATCTCCGCCTTAAATGAAGGCAAGTAATCGGCTGCCCCCGTAGGAAAGCGCCCTCACTTGAACACCTCCATTAGAGAAACTCCAGGAAGGTTAAAGAAGCCACACAACGACAATAATGTCGCGAGTCTTAGCCTACACCTACCGATATAAAGGAGATGTTTCCTAGTGACGCGTCCACCTTCCTGGAAAGGACAGGATGGACGATGACCCAGGAGAACAACTCCTCGGGAGGATGTAAAATGGGTCACATGTGGCATAAGTGCTATAGGTATACACTCACCCTCCCTACTATACAGGGTGTAACTAAATAAGTGTAGAACATTTGAGGAGGTGATTCGTCATCGAAAAAAAGATAAGATCTTTCATATGAAGAAATTTCATTGGAGCATCCCTTGTTATGATACAGCCATTTAAAGGGGGTACATAAAATTTGTATAACAATTTTTTTCACAAGCACTAAAAAAGTAACGATATTAAAATTAACCTGACGTTTTGTACTACCAAAAAAAACTTAGTCAGTTATTTATTTGGTTTACCCCATGGTTGTGAGGGGTGGAAAACGCAACCCCTAAAATTTATTTCCAATGTAACTTTTTGTCTTATTATTTATTCACCGTTCAAAAATTCATTCTCGATGGGCTGTTTCATTCTAAACAAAAAATGTTTTTTGGGTTTTTTTGCCCAAAATGAACCAGTTCGCAGCAAAAAATTATTTTACG